TCTTTAATAAAAACACCCTAAAATTAAGTTACTGTTGCACTGAAAATCTAGAAAGTATAATAAAAAAAACACAATAATAAAATCCTGAATAAACTACCATGCCAGAATAGTATTAATAAAAACTCTAAACTTAAATTAGACAACAATATTGAAAAATTATGTGATTGTAGAAACCCAGAAGACTGCCCATTGGAAAATATATGCCGCGTAAAATCTGTGGTACACCAATGTACTATCTCATCTATTGAGAGTCCTAATACTAATATGATATACATTGTGTCTACGAAGAATGAATTTAAAACCAGGTGAAGACAGCATAAAAGCTCCTTCAACAATATTAATAAAAGAAATCAGACATCTCTATCTAAATATTTTTGGCATTTGAAGGAAATGAATAAAACACCAAAGTAAAATGGAAAATTATAAACATCAAATTTTCGCATTGAATAATTAGCATAAATAAAAAAACAAACAAACAATTAAATAATAAATACAAATTTTAAACTCCATAGTCTAAATAAAAAGTTTAAAAGCCCTACCCAATAATAATAATAATAATAATAATAAAACCTTTATGAAGTCGTCAAAAAAAAACAAAAAAACAAATGTTAGCTAATTATGACAGTTTTTTTTATATACACAAAACCCTTTCAGAAAAGAAAATAAAAATAAATAAATAAATCTTCATAGACACTTAACCAGACTAGACGATGTCATCTTCCGATTTAAATTTAGACACCCCAACCTTATCCTGATTTGACATCTGTGAATATAACTTAGATATTGATACAAATTATTAACCCTTACGCCCCTTTTCTTTAAATAATTGCTCTAGCCGTTACCATAGTAATTTTAATTCTAATAATGAATATGCTTATAAAAACGCGTAAATTTCAAGAATTAGTTATTCCAAAAAATTTCACTTGAAGATGGAACAGAGCTTGGTACTTTAATTTAATTCAGATAATTATATTGAAGTTTTCGGCTCTTGTTTTGAAACATGATAACTCATATGTAGCGATGGAATCATATTTTTAAATAAATAATTATATTTATGCTCTACTTTTGTATCGAGCACTGTTTTTTTTTTAAAATAATAACAAAAATACTAACGAACTTTGGATTATTTACCTAACGAGTTCTTTTCTATTTTCTATATATTTTCACACACACACACACACACACACACACACACACACACACACACACACACACACACACACACACATATATATATATATATATATATATAAATATCATAACGAACAAATAGGACACGTTTATGAGATATGGTGAAAAAGAAGAAATAAATTCTGGTAGTTTTACTTTTGTGTTGTTTTGTTTTCATTGGTTAATCATGTTTCACGTGAATTCGGTACGCTATAAATTATACTAACGTTTGTTAAACAAGTCAAATGCACATGAAACCTGATTAAACCATGAAAATCAAACAACACAAAAATAAAAATACCAAAATTTATTTCTTCTTTTTCTCCACATCTCACAAGGGAAACATATTAGATTGATAAACCATTCTTATTATTATTCTGTCGAATTTCTATCCAGATTTGATCCCAGCTTACACACACACACACACACACACACACACACACACACACACACATATATATATATATATATATATGAATGATAAAATTATAGTTTTAAGGTATGCAATATTTCTTTTATTAATGTTCAATTAATACAAGGTCCAAGAGCCACTCAAAGTAGAGGATTACTGCGTGGAGTTATATTAGCATAAAAAGGAAAGATACACAGCTAATTCTAAACTTGAAGGGGTCAAGCTTTAATTAGCGAATAAAATTTCAGAGTCCAGGCAGAGATGTATAGTGTACAATTTAGAAGGAACCGGGAATCCAATCCTAAAGGGAAAACAAGGGATGAACCTTTAGTACTATCCAAATGACTGGGGAGAAGTATGAACTGGACGATAGGCAAATCTATCCACTCCTGTTGGGGAGGAGAGAAAAGTGGACACTGAGGTCAACATCGTGTAGCGACAGTCTTTTCATGCTTGAACGCATTAGTTCAAGCATGAAACAGACTGTGATCACAGTGTCCAATTTTACACACACACACACACACACACACACACACACACACACACACTTTTACTTTTATGCATACAAGTATTTTTCATAAGCAAACGCACACATATGATCGTTGGTAGAAATAGGGACTAAAATATAATTTGTAGTAAGGCCCGAAGGTAAAACAATCAACTTCTGCTCCAAGGATGAAAACCATTCCCCTATCAATTTCGTTCCTATTTTTCTCAAATATTAATGCGAACAATTCTTAAAATATATGCTTTCAAATATTCTTAATGAAAGATTTAAAAGATTACTACTAATATTCGTTTTGCTGTGAAATATTTTAGTGGTGCTGAAACGCTAATCGATGATTTTATATCGTCAGAATATGTTAAAAGATTGTCTTCTTGTCTAGCCATTATATCATAATTTATTAATATCTACAATTAAATATAGAAAGTGCAATCAACGACTGATTTCCTATAGTCTGAGCTCATATATTTCAAGATATTTTGCGCTTGTGATAGTTGCCATAATTTCGTAAAAGAGTTGTCTTCATGAGGTGACATTATAAAGACAAATCTAAAGTGAAAGCAAGGAAGATGCATTTTTAGTTTAATTGACACCTTCCTTCGTAACTTGAACGAGTGAAATAATTTATTAAAATCGCTCTCTCTCTCTATATATATATATATATATAAATATATATATATATATATGTGTGTGTGTGTGTGTGTGTGTGTGTGTGTGTGTGTGAAAATATATAGAAAATAGGAAAGAACTGGTTAGGTAAATAATCCAAAGTTCCTTAGTATTTTAGTTATTATTTTTAAAAAATAGTGCTCGATACAAAAGTAGAGCATAAATATAATTATTTATTTAAAAATATAATTCCAACTCGCGACATAAGAGGTCTCATGTTTCAAAACAAGAGCCGAAAACTTCAATATAATTATTTGAATTAAATTGGGTTAAAGTAAGCTCTGTTCCATCTTCAAGCGAAATTTTTTTGGAATAACTTATTTCTGAAATTTACGTGTTTTAATAGTATATTCATAATTGAAATCAAAATTTCCATGGTAACAGCTTGGGCGAATTGTTTAAAATAGGTAGGCGTGTGTTGGGTGTTAATAATAAGTATCAGTATAGAGTTACTTTCATAGATGTCAAGTCAGGATAAGGTGGGGGTGTCTAAATTTGAAACGGAAGATGTTTTCGCCTAGTCTGCTTTACGTGTCTATGGATATTTATTTATTTTTTTATTTTATTTCTTTATGAAAGGGATTTGTGCATATAAAACTGCCGTAACATTTATAACAAAAACATCTAGACCAAATAGTTAAAAGCATAAATGATTGTGATAAAATATTAGTTAAGTCTGACAAAACCGGCAACTTCTACAAATTGGCTGTTGATGACTACAACAACTTAATTAAAAAAAACTTAACCAGGACTTATAAAAAAGCTTGCAACAACAACATAAATATGGTTGATAGCATAAACAGAGCTAGTAAAAAAATAACTGATAAATTAAAAATTAGCGATAGAGTAGGTAAACTTGCTGAAAAGGAATGTTACATAACTCTTAAGGACCATAAGCATGACTTTTTGGAAAACCCTGAAACTAGAATAATTAACCCTACCCGACCCGACATAGGAAAGATCAGCAAAAGGATCCCGGAAAAAATTACCTGCCAAATAAAAAAAAACAACTTGAATTAAAATTATGGATCAATACTAAAGATGTCATCAATTGGTTTAACTATATTGATGATAAACCGAATTGCACCCTAATACAGTTCGATATCGTGGATTACTACCCATCAATTTCGAAGGATCTATTTACGACTGCCCTGGACTTTGCTGCCGTGTATTCTAACCTGACAAAGGAAGAAACAGATATAATCCTCAGCGCAAAAAAATCTGTCCTCATTCATAATGGGGACCAATGAATAAAAAACAATAACGACCTGTTTGACATCACTATGGGATCATTAGACTCTGCAGAGTCTTCTGACCTTGTTGGTCTTTTAATACTGTACAACTTAACGGCACACCGCGAAATTGATATTAAGGACATCGGACTGTATAGAGATGACGGGCTCATGGTGGTGAGGAGTTCTACTAGTTTTAAGATAGAGAAAATCAGAAAAATTATATTTAGTGAATTTAAAAATCTAAACTTAAAGTTAACAGTCTATTCTAATTTGAAAAGGGTAAACTTCCTCGACGTAACTCTAGACTTACCAAGCAACACATACCAACCTTATAGAAAACCAAATGCTAACCCTTTATATAAATCGATCACTCAGTTAACAACGTGAAACGCAACTTGTTAAAATGATAACAAAACCAAGGACATTTTGCTGCCTGATTGAGAAAGGTAGGTATCCATTTCCCTCTAGCTATGGGTTAAATAGTGGCACTAGAAAAATGATCGTTATTTTCAAAAAAATTGTTATGGTAATTTCAATCGCAAAAAAACAAAAAAACAAAACAAAAAAAACAGAATTACTGTTACGATCTAAACTATATTTCGGCTTTAAATAACCTAGAAATGGGTTGATAATCCGTAAAAAACAAATCACTCACTCGTTCACTTAATCAACGTGAAACGCAACTTGATAAAATGATAAAAAAAAAAACCCACTACATTTAGCTGCCTAATTGAGGAAAAAAAAGTTAATTCTTCAAAATGGTTTGGATGTTTTGTCGAGGAATCTGTCTCATATACCATTACTATCGATAGATCTTTACTGATTGCCGCATACTTATGGCCTCGTGCCAGACTCAATTATGCCTGATAAACAGCAGGATGTTCTTCGTGAGGTAATGCTTAGCGGGCTTGTTTCGCAGACCATTAATATTTTGTAGTATGTTCAGTTTTCATTGAGTACGGAGCACTTGTGACCCTGTACTGAGTGAACTAAGTTTAGTAAATAGTTTTCAAAAGTGCTTGAAGATGTAACGAGCAGTCGAGGGACGTTCCGGCGAAAGAAAGAGTGGAAGGAATAAATAAAAAAAGAAACGATGGAGAAAAATAAAAGTAAAAAGAAATAAAAGAAATTGAAAAAAAAAAGAAAGAAAACGGAGAAAAGAAAGAAAGAAAGAAAGAAAGAAAGAAAGAAAGAAAGAAAGAAAGAAAGAAAGAAAGAAAGAAAGAAGTAAAACGGGGCAAAGAAAGAAAGAAATAAAGAAAGAAAGAAGAAGAGAGAAGACTGAATAAATAAAAGGAAAAGGACAAAACTATCGGACGGATTAAAAATTAAAATACAAAGAAAAACGAAGAAAGAAAGAAAGAAAGAAAGAAAGAAAGAAAGAAAGAAAGAAAGAAAGAAAGAAAGAAAGAAGTAAAACGGGGGAAAAGAAAGAAAGAAAGAAAGAAGAGAAGACTGAATAAATAAAAGGAAAAGGACAAAACTATCGGACGGATTAAAAATTAAAAAACAAAGAAAAACGTCGAAAGAAAGAAAGAAAGAAAGAAAGAAAGAAAGAAAGAAAGAAAGAAAGAAAGAAAGAACAAAAAAGAATAAAATGATGGTATCAAGAAAGGAAAAAAGAAATAAAGTAGCAAAACGAGGGAAGGAAGGAAGGAAGAAAGAAAGAAAGAAAGAAAGAAAAAGAAAGAAAACAAAAAAATGAAAATGTATGGGTTAAGAGAATAAAAAGTAAAGCAAAAGAAAGGAAAAGTATAAAGAAATAAAAAAAAAGAAACAAAAAAAAACGAAAGAAAGAACTGGATAAAAAAGATTGAAAAAAAAACAAATTGAAGAAAGAAAGAAAGAAAATTTCGAAGAAAGAAAGAAAGAAAGGAATAACGAACAGAAAAGAAACAAAAAAAAAAAAAAAAAAAAAAGAAAGGATAAAATAAAAGTTCGAGATTCCCAAGAAATATTATCTAAAATATGAAATGTTATTCTCGACAGTCTCATCTTCACTGGAACCTGATAGTTGCCTGAACGACATATAAAATATATTTTTCCAGAAAAGAAAGAAAAGCATAGCAGTTCGGAACGTACATTTCAGTCATAAATTTATTATTTGCTTGTAGAAAAACGTTGTCTGGGTGGCGATTTTTTGTTGGTTTAAAAATGAAATATTTATTTGACAGACGTCGGGCTTCGAAATAGATTTCGAAAAAGTTAATAAACTGTACACCTGCGTCTCTTTTCATTTGAAAAAAATTCTGGTTATGTAATTGGGGTATAAATGTTTTAAAGACTGATGAAAACAGGCACAAGTGTACAAGAAATTAAGAGTGATTTCGCACTGCAAACTCCCTCCCACCGCATAGATAAAGTTCACATGAGATAAAAGCTATTTCAGGCTTTCCCTCTCTATCCGAAAGCGTAATTTGTAATCTATCATAAGGTGTAATGGCGTAAGACGAGAAAGGCATTTTCCATTAATTTATACGAGGTAAATATATGAGCGCGAAAGAATATGTCTCGGCATTAAAAGGTAATAGGAAAGGGTTGATAATCCGTAAAAAACAAATCAATTACTTGATAACATGTTAACAAAACTCAGGCCTTATTGCTGCTTGACTGAGAAAGGTAGGAATCCATCTCCCCTTAACTATCGGCTAAATAGTAGCACTTTTATCTGGAAAAATCATCATTATTCTCAAAAATTGTTAATGCAATTTCAATCACAAAAAAACAAAAACAAAATTAATCTTACGATCGAAATTATATTTCGGCTTTAAATAACCTAGAAAAGGGTTGATAATCCGTAAAGAAAAAAATGAAATGACGTGAAACGCGATTTGATAAAATGATAAGAAACCCAGGACATTTTGTTGCCTAATTGTCAATAAAAAAAAAACGTTTATTCTTCAAAATTGTCGAATGTTTTATCAAGCTTTGGTTATACTTCAAAACAATCGAAAAGCTAAACGTAATATCATTACAATATCTCTAAAAAAATTCTGTTATCTTAGGTCACATCTTGCTAATGTTACTCGTTTCATTATGAATAAACATTTGGCGTTTATTATCCAACCAGGCAGTACTATGTACTATCGGTTGAAGTAATAAAATCTATTTTTCAGGAAAATAAGTTTCTCTATTTCACTAACTGTTATTGTTCTTTCTAGTATTAATGGTGATGGGGCTTCCTTTCTACGTCAACATATTCATTATATAGTTTACCATTCGTCCATGCCACGAATATTTCTGCCACGTTCCTGTCCGATGCTCCTACTTTCGAAAGTTTACAAATTTAACGGATAAAAATGCCGAAAGATTTTTTGTCATTAAAAAAACAAACAAAACAGACGACATGCGTTGAACGGATGCCATAATTCATTGAAAAATTCACCCCTACCCTAACTAGACTTAACCGCTTTTCGAAAGTAACTCATATTTGATAAAATAGTTGTTAATAAAAATGAACACGCTACCGCCCCTGTCTAAATGATTGGATTTCTCTGTATCCTTGAAAACAAAAAATTATGAATGTATGTGCTTTTAAAACTCAGCAAATTTCAAAATAAGTTATTCAAAAATTCGCTTGAAATGTTTTAGAAACATGGTAATTCCTGTGTCGCGACGGAAGCATATTTTTAAATCAGTTAAGTTATAATATTTATGCTCTGTAAATTTACATTAAACACTGTTTCGTAAAAATAAAAATATCAAGAACACTGGATTATATATCTTACTGTTCTTTCTTTTTGCTATAATATATATATATATATATATATATATATATATATATATATATATATATTTTTTTAGTAAAAGTAATGACAAAATGAAAAAAAAAAAATTGTGCCGCGTTTTCTCCTTTAATACTACATCAGGCAAATTTCCTGCGGATGATCTATGAATTAAACACTTTCTATATACTTTGATATTAATAAATTACTTTTTCTTTTCATTAAAATAGCAGTTTTCACAACGAAATTATTGTTAGGCTCATTAGGTTGATCAACTAATGTCTTATTTTCCGCTCCCTTCCCCTTCCATATATATATATATATATATATATATATATATATATATATATAAAAATTAGGAATCACTTACGCACCCGTTATCATGCTCGACCATCTCATAAAATCTGACCAAATGACAAAACATAATTAAGGTCTCATTAGGCGGTAGATGCTAATTAATTTTCTAATGCTTTATTGGCTTTATGTGCGCACAACAGGATGTGTTACAGAAGTGGGGGGATGAAGCAAGAATGGGGAAGTAAGAAAGAAAAAAATTTACATACTCTCATTCGGGTTCGTATATACTTAAAATATACTTTCTGGTATGCCTATATCCCGACATGACCTCAGACCTTTCATTTAACAGCATTTCTTGGTCTACATACTTTATTATCACTAGTTTCAAGTCATCCCATAAGTTCTGTCCGAATTTTACGTTTTTTTAAAATGAACGAAATTTAAAGAGTATTTTATAATGTCTAACGGAGCTGAACATTATTTTTATGCTTAGATGCATTTAAACTGATCAAATTTTATTTCAGAGAACAATAAAATTGCTAACATGGAAGTACCCAAGAATCATTTGAGGCACATAATGCTTTATGAGTTCAAGAAAGAAAACTCAGCAGCCGATGCGGCTAGAAACGTTCACTCAGTTTATGGAGAGGAATGTGTGAATGAAAGAACTTGCAGAAGATGGTTTACAAAATTCAGAGGTGGAGATTTCACCTTTGAAGATGAAGATCGAACCGGACGTCCAGTTGAGTTTGATGAAAAGCTTCTTGAAGCAGCCCTTGAAGAAAATTCTGCTTTATCAGTTGAGGAATTGGCAGTGGTTCTCAGTTCAAACCATACAACGGTTCATCGTAATCTTCAACAATTTGGAAAAGTTTCTAAACTTGGAAAATGGGTGTCTCATGAATTGTCTGAAAACAACCTCAAATCCCGAGTTGACATCTGCTCTTCTCTCCATTCTCGCCAACTTGTTTCACCTTTTTGGATAGACTTGTGACTGGCGACGAAAAATGGATCTTTTATCGAAATGTTAAGCATCGTAGACAGTGGCTTGGTAAAGGGGAAGGACCCCAGCCACAGCCGAGAAGGGAACTTCATGGGCAAAAGGTTCTTCTTACAATCTAGTGTGATCGCCAAGGAACAATCCACTTTGAATTTTTACCACCTAATGCGACAATTAATGCTCAAATATACTGTCAGCAATTAGAGCGTTTGAGCCAAGCTTTGAGGAAAAAAAGATCTGCTCTAGTGAATCGAAAAGAGGTGATGTTTCATCAGGACAATGCACGACCACACACAGCAAGAAACACGTCGCAAAAGATCGAAGAACTTGGTTGGGAGAAAATTTCTCATCCACCTTATTCTCCCGATCTTGCTCCTACCATTTGTTTCGTAGCTTACAGAATCATTTGGAAGAAACAGCTTTTGTAACACAGGAAGAGGTTAAAACTGACATTTGTGAGTTCTTTGGATCAAAGCCAAAAGAATGTTACAGTAATGGAATTAAGCTTGTTAATAGATGGAAGGAAGTCATAGGTAATTAGGGAAAATACCTTGTTGATTGAATCTGTAATTAAATGTAACATTTGGTCACTTGTTTTCTTTATTCAAAATTCGGACAGAACTTATGGGATGACCTGATATATATATATATATATATATATATATATATATATATATATATATATATATATATAGTTTTGTGACCTGGTTCTTTAGAAGATATAAAAGATTTGTCGATTGGAAAGTTAATACGAAAAGTCAAAAAGTATCAGAACTGCAACGCATATCAATTCGCTATTTAATATTATTCGAAATAGTCCCCTTCTGAAGCCCCACATTTTATCCAGACCGTTTCCATTGATGGAAGTATTCATGGAACTTCTTTTTTTTTTGGGGGGGGAGGGGGATAGCGGGTACATTTTAAATTACTATCTGTAGGGTCGTCTTTTACGGCCAATATAGCCAAACATATATTTTAACTTGAAAATTTGAGGGTAATTTTATACGTCCAGTCGCCTTGTACGACAGCATATACGGTAGGTATTATTTCTATGTAGCCCAGATAGTTCAATTTTTGTACTTGCTTGATTTTAACGTCCCTAAAACGAAGTTCACGGTAAATAAATAAATGGTAAGTAAAAAAAAAATAGATGCATGCTGGTTTGTAAGTTGAAATAAATGTGAGTAAGAAACAAGTATGTATAATAAGAAATATAATTATCATTTTGAAAAAAATGAACTATAGTAACTGAAAGTAAGTGCACAAAAAGGAGGCACCAATACTTCATGTTATTTCAATAAATATGAAGGTCCCTAAGCAGACGATTTAAGAGATTACATCAGTTTTAATTAATTTCTTATTGAAGTCGATCTAAGTCATATTATATAATATGAATAATAATAATTATTACAAAAACTTGTATTGCAAATACAAATTAAAATACGTGTAATTATTAATAAAATTTTACCTTACCATTTTATATCATGAACTACTTTTAAAAGGAACCCAACGGGTTTATGGTTGGTCTAGTTAGTTTTAAATTTAGACATCTGTTTTTTTTAAGTAGCTGTCTACTTCTGTGTCGCCAAAGAAGATGAAGTCTGAGAAGGTTGGAGATGTTTAACACATTCTTTGTATTTAATTCTATTTGTCGTTGGCCGTTTCCACTAGTCTGACTCGAAATCTTGGTAGCATTACTAAACCGTTTTTATTCAATCAGTGCTTCTGTAATTGGTAAATGATTACCGTCGGGGGAAAAAAAAGGGAAGTATCGTTGGAAAATTGTGGGTGTAACGACAGCAGGGAAAACTCTAGGTTTGAATTCAATTAAAAATAAATAAAGGAATTTAACTTCGACTCTTTCTGTCTTCATCTGTTTTCTTCTTAGCGTAAAATTCGTACCGAAGAAAAAGATGTCCGAGCTGAAAGGATCAAACTAATTTGATTTTGCAACATTCCCAGGGCTAGAAACATTTCTGAATTGATTGGACATTAGGCTTTACGTTTGAAAAATACCTTCCACACTTCCAACAATTTTTCTTT